TCTTTTTCTTATATTCTAGCTAACCAAGGATGAGAGAAGTGACAATGAAGAGGAACGGGAGGAAGAGAGCAGCCTGCCAGAAGATGAAGGAGCAGAACAGCACAAGCATGGCAGTGAATTGGCAGCTAAAGAGAGAGAGAGGACAAGAACAGCTGTTTTGGATGCTTGTCTCCACCAGAGAGCAACCACCAGTCACAGACTCTGCACCGACTCAAGTTCAGCATGACCAGGAGAGCAGAAAATGGGGGAAATAGAACAATGCTAAGTATGTTTAATGCCGTATGGACTGAAAAATAAGCAAAACGTAAATTCCTTCAAATGCTAACCCATAGGTGTCAATGTGCATACCAAATATCTATTTTTACACCCTCTCCAGCACCACCTCCAGGGAACAGGTGTTTGTTGTACCTTCCATGGTGTCCACAAGACATCATTTCAGCTATTGTACATTATTTAGCTGCCAGTTCAGTTAAGAAATGGAAATTAATGCTATAGGTTTTGGTGAAACATATTAACAAGACCCATGCTTCATATAGGGAGAAAGAATGATCCATAAAATGAAATATGAAATATATATCAAATCAGCAAAACACAACCATAAACAGAAAAAGATGTTGTGACTATCTCCTGGCCTGTTTCTCCTGTTTCTTTGTTTTGTTGTCTTTCCTCTCTCCCTCTCCTTCTTTAAGGTTTGGGGACAATAATTCAGAACAAGTGGCTGCACCTGGGCCCAGTGATGTCCTCTGCTATTTAAATCTCCACTCCGGCCATATATATTTAATGCTCCTCTCCTTTCGCCCTGTGAACCTTATTTTATTTTCTCATCCAACACTGCTCAACACTCACTTTTCACTCAACCATACACCTGCTATACACTAATGATGAGACTAATTACATAGAACATTGTTAATGTTTTTTCCATCCATCCATCCATTTTCTCCGCTTATCCGGAACTGGGTCGCGGGGGCAGCAGTCTAAGCAAAGACGCCCAGACTTCCCTCTCACCAGACACTTCCTCCAGCTCCTCTGGGGGAATGCTGAGGCGTTCCCAGGCCAGCTGAGAGACATAGTCCCTCCAGCTTGTCCTGGGTCTTCCCCGGGGCCTCCTCCCGGTGGGACATGCCTGGAACACCTCCCCAGGAAGGCGTCCAGGAGGCATCCGAAACAGATGCCCGAGCCACCTCAGCTGGCTCCACTCGATGTAGTTCTACTCTGAGCTCACCCTATCTCTAAGGGTGCGCCCGGCCCCCCTGTGGAGAAAGCTCATTTCGGTTGCCTGTATCCGGGATCTTGCCCTTTCGGTCATGACCCAAAGCTCATGACCATAGGTGAGAGTCGGAACGTAGATTGACCAGTAAATCGAGAGCT